TATATATATATATTATAATAATTCCCTTAATCGCCCCGTTTGAGTAAACGGCCTATTCATGAGATTTTTATTTTTTTTAGCAAGTCAATAATCCAATCAATCCTGGGACTATGGTTGTTGGCATGATTTGAGCTGCAGAGTGGAATAACATTCTTCTTTGGTCAATATCAAAATGGGGATAGCCTACTCTGATCCCTGGACAGACAGTATATTTCCAACTTTCCTCTTCTTATTTGTCTAGGCCTAGTCCAACTCCTCTTTTTCTTTTTCCGACAATTTGCATCTAAGTTTTCAAGAAAACCTGCAATGATCCTGCCATCCTGTTAATCTCAATCCGAGCCGATGGCTAACAAGCTAATCACTACCCACCAACACTAATTGTATCTGCTATTCTGCTGTCATGTAAATATTCACAGCATTCTTGTCATGAGCCATGTTCTCTGTAGGATTATCTTTTCCGCCGCACCATCATTCGTAATGTTCTTATATAATCATGTTTCGTTCAAAAGTGCCTCTTGAATTTAATAAGCTCCCATAAGAACCCCTCGATTCCCTCAATTTTCATTCTGTTTTCATAAGCGCCCGGTTTGAATAAGCGCCCCTCAGAAAGTGCAAACAAATATTTTAAGCGCCCGGGCGCATACTAGCACGAGTATGGTAATATGTTGACAACAAATACAATCAGATTATCTAACAAGTCGAACGCTGCGATGGTGCACTTAGTTGCGTCAAACTAATATAGGCGCAACACTGTTAAAGAAAATTATATAAAAGCGATAATAAGATAATTAGGCCCACGCTTTCAAGAAAATGCTTGCAGTAGGTCATAGAACAACATTCCTGCTTTTAAGGCCTATTTAAGGATAGGCCTTCATCACAGGCTCATGATTATAAATTCATTGTTGCTGGAACCAAGTGAAATCTCACACAAAATTCATTTTCTTGTTTACACATTGCTTTCAGGCTGATATTTTTGTTAGCGGTTTTACCTCTTTTATTCTCTCAATTCTATCTTTCAATACGTAAAATAACGCAAAGTTCCCGGGGGCTCTTGCCGTCCCCCTGGCTTCAGTCATAAGGACGATAAAATAATTAATGGAAACTTAATATTATACTTTTCATGTTGATGAAACTTTTTAATGAGTTTTTAAGCACACTGTCGGTACTGTTTTATTACGTACTTAAAAGTAAACAATAACAAAAAAAAATAGAGTTTAAATTATAATTTTGGCATTTGTAAAGACATAATCTTGTATTATATTTTTAGACGTAACTTATTCATTTAATTGGGTATATTTAGAAGCGGTTTTGGATATATATTTACAATCGGATTGGCGTAGCAGGTGCTGTTCTGCTTCAATTCTCAACCTTGAGGTCGGAGGTTCAATTCCTCGCTGTGTATTTCGCTTGTTTCTTTAGGAAAGGAACTTTACCTATGGTTTGTTTCTCTCAGTGGCGGATTCATGGGGCCCAGCTGCCCCCCCCCCACAAATAGTTCCAATCTTTTCAAATGGACATAAAAAGACAATTATATTCAAATTTTAGGTCTGAGAGTGCAATTTCCGGCCATCTAGAGGTGCCATAATCACATTTTCTTACCTCACCTGAGGTGGTATAGATCCTTTATCTGTGAAAGTACCTCCCCTGGCCCCCTCTATTTTGAATTCCTAGATTCGCCACCGTCTCTCCAGCCAGAAGTAAAAGTGGGTACCTGGTAGGTTCAAACAAAAAAGTAATGATTACAGCTGCATCATTATGGAATTCTCCCAGGGACGTGCCTTCCATGCTTAATCCAACGACCGGGGGTAACAATGTTAAGCACATAGAGGTCTCTTCAATATGCGCTCTATAAATCGACCATTATTATTATTATTTAATCAAAAAGATAGCATAGAAAGGATAGCAGAGAATGAAATGCCAGTTAAAGTAATTAATATTTATTGCCAAAGGTCAACGAACAAATTGTTAAATCTCTTGATAGTAAAATTTTACTTTGAATCTTAACTTTTATGGAACAACAAAATAAAGACATTATCTTACCTAATTTTTAACTAATCAAGATGGAAAAACGTAATATCTTGTTCTTTAACATTATCACATTCGTTTAAATCATCGAGGTATAAAATTGCTTATACCTCCATGGTTTGATAAAGTTACACTAATTTCTGACCGCAAAGCTGCTATTTAATTTTACGACTATTTGAATATACAGTTTCCAAAGTTCATTGCTCGATAACGCGAGTAATGCTACAGAGTTCTGCTGCGAATGTACCATGAGAACGCTTAATGGGCAAACATTGGTTAAATGGCTTTGCACTATACGTAGTAATCATCCCAAGTAAGTTTTTCCCCATCCTTATCATGTTCATGTCATCGATTTCAGGGATGGCGCAAGTAGTCGGGGAGAAATTTAGTTGTTAAAGATTGTATCGTATAATAAGCATATTAACGGTCGGAGCTTCATGGAGATGCTCCTCATGGACCCTCTCCGAATGGGTTGTAGACTGTTCCTGGCATCGCCTTATGCTCATGTCGGATTCCAATGTGGCAAACCCTCACCACCACTGATCGATTTACATCTACGTACCATTAGCCTTCTATAGACGGGTTAGGAAATATTTATTTATCTTTTCACTAGGTCCAATAAAAGCCAAAGGTAAATAAATTATACACGTACACTATGCTCTCATTACAATGCTTTGGGGTTTAGTAGGATTTGAACCAGATCATTTGAATTGGAAGGCAAGTATCTTAACAACCAAGCTCCATTATAGTCTGCTTTCCTTAAAATTGCTACAATGTCGTTACAGTTTTTTCATTGCAATCGTCGTAGACTACATAACAGTCCCCGACGTAATCGGGAAGGCTCCCCAATTCGACTGACCAATAAGCATCACCGAAAGCTGTCGGCAAAAGCGCGTAGCGATTGTATGGAAACCAAGCTTTTGCGATTTGTCAATCGTTCACGAGTGTTTTTTTTCCACCTGGTGTTATGTACATAGGGCCTACTAACTGTTGCACACACCCTACCTTTGCACTTCTATCCTATTGCTGTCAATTAAAGTTTCGCTGGGCTTTCTTTGATTCCTTGGGTCATAAAATTATATTCATCATATCCAATGTCCCTATAACATTACCGACAAATCACAAACTCATTAAAGATAGCTTTCTTGTTCACATGATCTCTAAACACTGGTATTACTAGTAAGCGCGTTTTCCGTCATTTCTTTATCTTCCTTATCAGTTTTGGTAACCGAATCTCTTGTCCATGATTTTTCTTTATCCTGAACACTATAGGTCCGCTTTCTACAGGCCCTGTTAATGGAAATTTTACAACAATATATAAATTAAATCAATTTTTGACATAAGAAAATCACAACATTTTGTAGTGGTTAGTGTGCCGCGGTTGCTGTTCGGGCTATCAAAAAAATTTAGCCCAGAGGTTTAAATCCCACCCTGCTTTTTGGCCTTTGTATACCCAGTAAAACATTCTTTTATTTCTTTAATTTTTCTATAATTATTATCACCGTAACCATCACCATTCCTAACAACCTCACTAAATGAAATGCAAAAATGTTGTTGGGTTTGTTTGTTTTTTTTTTGTTTTTTTTTTGTTTTTTTTTTGTCCAGATTGATTAAGGGCGCTATTTCCTTTTAATTTTGATTGTTTTTTGCCATACTGTACCCCTTCGCTAGAAAAAAAAATTGCATACCTTCTAATTAGGATACAAATGTCCTATTTCAGCCTTTAAAACAATGATTTATTGACTATATAAATGTCGGGTCTCAAGAGAATAAGCCTAGCAATTTAAGGTTTTCGGTGATATGTAGGAAATAGTGATAAATTAAAATGCATGTTTCATAGTCATACCCGCAATAAGCCACTGTCATTGCAATGATTACTAAGACAGCCAGGCCAACACCGATTGCAACGTAAAACCAGTACTCTACCAACCAAACCTGTAAAATATAATGAATTAGTATTAACAGAGTATTAATATTAATTAGTATTAATATAGAGAGCAGCTTAGCTCAGTCTGCTAAACTGGCGGTAGCCACTTTGTGTGTGCTGAACCGTGGTCCCCGCTTCAATTCCCATCGTTAGAGGGCTGAAATGAAAGGTACGATAGCGCACTGTCTTGCGGATGAGACGTTTAATCCGTTGTTCCCGTGTGCATTATGGATCACTGTAGAAAAAAGTAGGGGATTATCTCCACGTGTACTGCCCAATCACCATCACCAGAAGGACCACATTGGAAATAAGTCTTCTTCAGACTTTCGTGGATTATCCTTGGTGTTTACACCAAAAATAAATCTATCTATTCTAAATCATTAATTATTTATAACTTTACATACGCTCTAGTGTAAACAAATATAAATCATTATATAATTTAATCATACATTCACTGTATTTATTTTTACACGTGGTAAAAATAGTCTGGAATTGATTGATTGATTGATTTCCAAAACTCCTGTCAGTCACAGTCATTTACCTGTTGTTTTGTACCATCTTCACCATATCCATCAATGTGATAATTTGGCCCTATCACTTTACGCACATGTTCCTCTGGGATGTCATTTATGAGTTTCCGTAGTTTCTCCGCCGGCACTACAGTGTTGTTGACGCGGGCGACAAGTAGTACAATCCCGTCTCTATGCACATGAATTATAAAGATATTGCTCACATTAATGCTAATTATATTCTCTGAAAGTCACTTGATTAAGACATTAATGAGTACATTAAAATCGAGATCGAGGCAGTGGCGGTGCCAACGGAGACACCCCCCCCCCCCCCCCACGTCGGACAGGCCTGAGCCCCCCTGACGTTCGACGCACGAGTAGGTCGTCGGATAAAAAAAATTTAAAAATAATAATTTGCTTCCCCAAATAACGTTATTTTTATTGCCAATCCCTATTGTGGTCTAAGAGCACATTTTGAACCATAACTAAGATACTAAAAACTGTCCCGTGAACATTACCAGGGATTTTCTATTCTGGGCCGTCAACCGCCGAGGCTCTATAGTCGGCCCCTTGGTTCGGATCCCTCCGTGATATATGACGGACCCCTTGTCGGCAAATTCCTGGCGCCACCACTGGATCGAGGTGACGTAGTCATACAATATAGGCTTAGCAGTTTCTTACAAGAAATGTGTTATATAGGTCATGTGACTTTGAATTTTATTTAATTATCCCTACAAATATTACATAGGCATACACTGTCTGTGTAAATATAATAATAGGTCAGCTTGAAAAGATGTATTGCTTCTGCACAATATTTAAAGTGTAATACTTTTGCAACTTTCATAAAGTATATGTTTAATTATATTTATTCTGATACGTAAAGATAAAATTTCCTTATGTGGACTAGTGCTTTTCTCTCAGCAGTATTTATACAGCGTGATACAACTCACAGTCTAATATAGTTGCAGAACATCATTACTGACCGCTATGAGGCGCCGCGTTATATGGAACGCAATTTTGTTCACAGTGATTGTCGACACGGATTCAAAGGCGCAATCTGTGAGTATAATTTGACACATCCTAGAAACGTCTCTGGTAGTACAACTAAATTAGTGTATTATCATCAGAAAAAATAAAACCTACTCAGATTCAGCATCTGGGTGAGATGACGTCATGGGAATGCATTCGATGTATACATCTTGTGAGGGTTGACCCTCGAGTAAAGATATTTCCAGTAGTGATGTAAATCGACGCTGAATATCATCAACAGTATTTTCTGTAGTTTCTCCAACATCAGCTTTAACCATAATCCCATCGTGTTCAGCGTCTAAACGCAGAAAGAATACAAATTGATGATATTGTTGGTAAACATCTGAATTATAAATTATTGATCCTCTCATTTCCTGTTGTTTAGGAGAGTACCAAAATGTGCCTTACATTTAATTAGGCCAATCAATATATGTTCGAGTCAGTCAGCCTAATAACGATGATACTAAATATGATATTGAGGATAGTAATTGTGGTATTAATCGATGACATTATAATACAATAATACTTTTGGTTTCATTTTTATCTTCAGTGAGTGACTCCGCACTTAGCCTACATGTCGTGATGCCCTTTTAACTAAGTTAAGCCTCAAAGAAAACATCAGACTATGTTGTAAGATTTGACCAAAGGACCCCGGGTTAGGAGGCGAGCATCTCAATCCACAAGACATAGCATTATCTATATATAGAAAAATCTACTCATGGGTCGATACCGTAACTGTTTTATAAATTGTATTTGTCAAAAAAAAAATAAGGGGTGTGTTAGGCAAATCATCTTACCTATCTGACATCGACTTCCGTAAAACCCTTCATGGCACTTGCATCTATATCCAGTCTCCAGTGTAAGGCAGATACCACCATTGTGGCAGTGTGTTCTGAAGCAATCGTCTTCGTTATCTTCACATGTACTTCCACTAAATCCACTGCTGCACACACAAGTAAATCCGGCGATACCATCTCGGCAAGTTCCACCGTTCAAACATGGGCGATCATCACATTCGTCGATGTCAACGTCACAGTTTCGACCATCATAACCGGATGAGCACTTGCAACGATACGAGGTTTCCATGTCAACACATTTACCATGTATACATGGGTTATTTAAACAGTAGTTCACTTTATCTTGGCATTCGCTTCCAGTAAACCCCGTAGCACATGTGCAAACGTACCCATTTATTACGTTATTGCACGTTGCATCATTCCGACAGGGATTGCTTGCACACTTGTTCATGTCGAACTCACATTTTCTACCGGTGAATCCTTTAATGCAATCGCACGTGTAATTGTTAATTTTGTCGCGACATACTCCTCCGTTGGCGCAAGGGCGACTTTTGCATTCGTCCTTGTCTCGTTGACAGAATTTTCCTTCAAAGCCAGGTAGACATTTACATTTAAACTCATTCTTGACGTCATGGCAAGTCGCATTATTGCGACACGGATCACTTTCACAAGGACTAATTTTTTCCTCGCAGCGCTCTCCACGATAACCATCGGCGCATTCACAACGGTAATTGTTGATTGCATCAATACACACTCCATAATTAAAGCATGGATTTGAATTACATTCGTCAATATTATTCTGACATTTAGTACCATTAAAACCATTAGCACATACACATTTGTAATTTGCTATGCCGTCGTTACAAGTAGAGTTATGTAAGCACGGGTTACTCTCACATTCGTCTATGTTGTAATCACATTGTTTGCCAGAATATCCAGCCATGCATTCACAATTAAAATCATTTATAAGATCATGACAAATACCTCCATTAGAACACGGTGCGCTTGCGCATTCTAAAGTATTGATTTCACAGAGTGAACCCTCGAAGCCGTCAGTACAATTACACATGAACTCATCGCGCCCGTTGATGCATACGGCGCTGTTAAAGCATGGGTTGCTCGCACATTCGTCAACGTCGTATTCACATAATGGTCCTGAATAGCCGTGGGTGCAATTACATAGAAAATGACCGATCATATCGATACAGTGGCCAGCATGCATGCAAGGATTACTAAGGCATTCATTAATATCTACATCACACGTCTGGCCAGTATACCCCAACATGCAATCACAATGGAAGGCATTAACTCTATCCTGACATCCTCCGCGATTCTTACATGGTAAGCTCAAACATTCGTCAAATTCCATCTGGCATTGCTCACCGTAGAAACCATCGGCACACTCACACACGTAACCGTTGGTGACATCAACGCAGGAAGCATTGTTCATACATGGCTTACTTAAACATTCGTCAATATTTACTGCGCATCGTCGACCGGAAAATCCTTCTGAACAATTGCAATAAAAATTACCAATTTCATCGACGCATGTTCCGTTATTGAGACATGGATCACTATTGCACTCATCTATGTCGATTTCACATTTTATTCCTGTGAATCCCATCGCGCAAACGCAAACTGCCCTGTCGGGATTGCTGAAACACTTCCCGTCGTTCTGGCATGGTTGTGTAGCGCACCTATCAATTATAACATTACACAATGTCCCTTCATATCCAAGGTTGCATACACATTGAAAACCGTTGGCTTCGTCGAAGCATTTACCGTTGACGCATGGCGAACTTAAACACTCATCGACGTTTACTTCACAGTAAATTCCTCGGAAACCCGACAGGCATTGACATGTGAATGATGCCTGCCCATCGACACATGTTGCATTATGTTGACATGGATTATTCTCACATTCATTTATATCCTGTTCACACTTTATGCCTGTATATCCGTCTGCGCACATGCACGTGTAGCTGTTGGCTCCATCTAAACAGGTAGCGCCATTGAAACATGCGGGCCTTCCATCTGTTACGCACTCATCTATATCAACTTCACATCGGGATCCTGTATTATTAAAGGTTGTAGCGTTAGAATGATAATAACAGTAGTCAACTCAATTATTAATTTAAAATATTAGATATTAAGGGTAGTATAGATTAGTTAATTAATACAACCATATAAAACTAACTACACTACCTAAAATTGGTTGTGTGAGCTTTGCTCCAGGGAACCTCTATGTAGAGAATAGCCTATGCCTACTTAGCGCTTTGTAACCACAAGCAAAGCGATATAAAAGAAAGTACCTAATAACGAGGAATTGATACAACTGAGCTTTGTAATGCACTGAGCGCAATAGCAGTGCGCAATTTAAAAGTTAAAACGAGACGTAAAGGCCAACTCAGACAGCGTCGTACGACGCAGCCCGACCCGATTTATCGTCGGGGACAGTCTTAAGCCGCCGGTAAACAGTATTTCCGTGTCTAATTGTCAGTTTCATAAAAACGGTTGTGTTGTAATGTTTAGGGAAATTCCCATGTTAGATGAGATGCGAATGGAAAAACAAGACTAGACTACCCTGGTCAAGCGCGTGGTAGCACAAACTTGTTTGAACGCGCTTCTAGTCTCTTTGGTTGAATAATAATTATTCGAGAAAAAAATATACGCTTTGGAGCGTTTATTCGAGGGGGACGTTTATTCGAAATGAGGATCTTCTCTAGTTTAATGGAGGGTTTTTATTTGAATAAATACGGTAAAAGAAAAATGAATATAAATAATGTAAATAGTTAGGGTGATACTGATAATGGCAATACGAAACAGTAGGCCTATATCACGGAAAATAACTAATATTTTACCTTCAAATTCTGGTGTGCATATGCAGATAAACTTTGAAAGACCATCAATGCATGTTGCGTTATTTTGGCATGGGTTGCTTGAGCATACATCAACGTCAATTTGACAATTTTCACCTTCATACCCATCTGCGCATCGGCAAGTGTAACCGTTCATTACATTAGTACAGTTGCCACCGTTTAAACATGGTGAATATTCCTCACATTCGTTCTTATCTAATTCACATCTCCTTCCTGCAATTTGGAATTGAATAAATCACAACTTTGTCAACTTTAAATGATGAAATCACATAACTAAAGTAACTTTAGTAAAACGGCAATAGGCCTATATTTTACTTCGATTTAGGACAGGCTAGGCCTGAAGGTTTTAATGTATACCGTAATTATCATTTTCAAGAATACTGAAAAATTTCAACGGGGTATATTACCCAAAAGGGGTATATTATTCAAAATTGTTTAATGATTGAACTTAATGAGATAAAGTAGAGCATAATTTAATGCAGACTTAAAATGCCATAATACCTACGGCAATTGTGCTAACAATAAGGAGGTGCTATGGAAAAAAACAATCAAAAAGTATGGGGAAAAAAGCAATCAGCAGAGGATTAGGCAAAACGAGTTTGCATGATATTTGGATGCAATAAACAAACAACCCATCTAAAAGAGAACCCTATGTCGACTGGAGACATCACATTGGCTAAAATATCCTCTCCTGGAAGAAAAGAGATTTAATGCTGTAGCAGAACTCAATGAGGTGCATGGATCCTGGATTGATAAATCAGTACTTTATTACTAAAGAATAACAGAACAACTGAAAAAAACTAAATTTTAATGCTGCCCTGGTGGAAAGACGTGTTGCAAAACAGTACTTTATCAGAAGAACGTGACAAATGTCAATGGTGATGCACAACCTCAGACCTAAAGTATGTTCTCATTAGCGTAGAAACTTTTGACTAATCTCAATTGTTGGATTTCTAGAAAGTAATGACATTTTGACTAAATGCAGGATTTCCAAAAGAGACTATACTACCATGGTGAAATGATCGAATAATACTCTGGTTATTATACAGAAGACATACCTACTCTCCTCAGAGGGATAGTGGGGGGAAGTAAAATCTAATAAGTTAAAATTGTTCTGATATTTAATGATTCATTGCATTGGTCAGTATGAAATGCAGAAGGCCCGGTACTGATTAGTAACGGAGCAAGGTCCCAAATAGGGGGGGCTGATTCCCCCTACGAGAGCAAAGTGGGCGTGGTCGGACGTCGCTCAAAATCTCTTGAAAGTACTCCAGGGGGCGAATCCCCCGAAAGTATGACAATTTAGGGGTTTCAAATGCTTGTTTAATCGATTTTAATCGAGTCTACTGTACATGTAGAAATAGCCCCTTCCCCCCTAGCGCCGCAATTGTTAATGTTGCTTCCCCAGGGGACAAAAGATTTTATACAAAACATGATGACGTTAGATCAGTGTACAATAATAAATGTTGCTCTCTCCAAGGAAACCAAGGACTTATAACTGTTACGGTAACAGTTTTAAGCCTTTGAGGAAACAACAGATTTTTTTTTTGCGGAAGGAACACAAACAATAATGACGTTAGATCAGTGTACAATAATATGTGATGCTCTCCCAGGGGACAACAGATATGTTTTTTTTTTTTTTGTTTTTTTTTTTTTGCGAAAGGAGCACAAAAAATATATGACGTTATATCAGTGTACAATAATAAATGTTGCTCTCCCAACAGATTTTTTTTAACGAAAGGAACACAAAAAATAAGGACGTCCGTACCTGTGGTACCATTTTTACAAAGACATGTAAAACCTTCGGTCAAGCTGACACACTGTGCCTCGTTTTGACAGGGGTTCGGCGAGCAAGCGTCAATTTTATCCAGACAGTCTCGTCCAGTGAACCCCGAAGAACAAACTTTTCGTCCTGACGTCATATCACATTCGTAATTACCAGCCGTAGGTGGCTCACAATATACGTCGCAAGTTTTGTTGTAGAAGTCTTGTTTACAGAAAACAAACGCCTCAGCCATAAATCTATACATAAATTAAAATTCTGATCAAAACTAGTATAGTATATATTCATTTTTAAGGAGTTTTAAATGACTTTATAAATAATTAACAACCATTTTTCTAGACTTCCACGTTCTGAAAGGTCTACCCACCTAAAATATATTTGAATAAATAAATAAACAAATATGATAGTTAGGGTTACAGTATATTACACATGGTGTACAAGAAGTTTTTGTTTTTGATACTCGCCATGCAAACCTACAAAAATATTAGGTTTACAGTATTCATTAAGATCAAATTAGAGCTGTTTATTTAACGGGCATATGAATGGTACATTGTAGATTCGATGGTGACCAATTTAAAGACATTTGTAGCAAAACCTTTAAATCTATAAAAACTGCATTAATTGATGTGTTTAATTAGAAGTTAATAACGTATTTGATTCTTTTTAAAGAATAATTATTATACATTTTTTGAAAAAAAATGTTGAGGTTATTCATTTCTTGTCACAAACGATATAGGCCTATATTTAACAATTAATTTAAGTGTTACCATTTGGACTACCGGTACAAACTATACATACACATATACATACATATACATATACATTTTAACGACATACTTTTGTTTAGATTTTTTCCCTTTAAGGGCGACAGCTCGTGGTGAACTTGCGTTTGGCTCCAAATTTATTGTATTCCGGAAGGTGTCGACTTTCTTATTACGATCATCCCTTACAACCACTTTAGCTTTAAAACCCTGAATAGTAAAAATACACAAAACAAATTCTCTTTATTGAATATCAATCACATTCTTTGTCCGTAAAATATAATAATTATTTATTATTATTGAATGCCTATCTTTTATCATTAGTTGTTCCCTCTAATTAAAGATTCCCCCTCTTTAGTAGACCCATGGTATTGGTGGACCCAATTTAACATTTTTCTCCAATTAAGACTATAAAATAAATAGTGACTGTTAATGCAATAATGTTTCTATAATAAATTGTTTTATAATAATTTACACAAAGAAATATATTTGTGTATATTAAATAACCATAATGAAATGTGACAATTTTAGTAATATTGGAAAGTTGAATTCTGGCTACTATAAGATGTTCTATTAGAAATCTATAACAGCATGCAGTAACTATACATCAATTACTACATGCGTGCACGGAAAATGTTACTTTTGTTTTATATACACATCTAGATGTGTATAAGAGACAGATATATATATAATATATATATATAATTCTCTTGCAAACAATGAAGAAAATTGTAAAATCACTAGACAATTCCTAGAGTATTTTTGGGCCTCAGATGAGTGGGATTAAACAGGGTGAGCCAACATCACATTAATATTAATATTAATGTGACCTAATAGGTCTATACCTCATTATATTTGTTTATGTATATAATTATTACCTGCCATGTATCAAAATTGACGAGGAATGGGTAAGGAATTGGCTTATCCCTGCCGCTATGTTCTCCACGTGCGTATTCCTGCAGATTGTCTGGAAACACGAGAGTATTGTTCAGTTTTGGAATCGGAGTTGTCTTGAACGTAAAGTCACATGATTTGCCAGAACTGTATGTTTATAGGAAGACAATACAAGTCTAAAATTAGTGAAAGGTGAGTTGTTTATTGTTCGAAGATGATGATGACGATAATGATGATACAGATGATGATTATGGTGATGACAAGGATGATGACAACATTGTGACGATGATAATAATGGTGATGGTGATAATAATAAAATGATGATGAGAATGAGAATGATGATAATAATGATAATAGTGATAATCATTATGATGATTATGATATTGATGAGGATAACGATGAGAATGATAATGCAAATAACTATTGATTATGCACTGATGTTACTCATTGTATTTCGTTTCTTATTTCATATTTCAAAATGAAGAAAACATTAAAAAAATAATTTGAAAAGTCTACAAATTCGTTTGTATCCAATAATCATTTGGCTAAATAAAATTTAATTTGGCCTAATTAAGTTCAATTATTTGATTAAATCGTCCAGTAGCCGTTCATTAACATACTTTTAAAATTTCTTAATAGAGTTTATTTTGAAGATGAAGTACAAAAACTTACGTTGAAACATCCTGGATGCACACTTGGAATGTAAAATTACAACCAGTTTTCGCTACACATCTGCCGTTCTTGTAACGCTTGCCTGTCGGATTGTAATAAGACTTCAGACGAAATGACAATCTCGCCGATGATTGACAAACATCCTGTAAACACATTTTAATAGAAGTCATAATTGGATGAACTCAATAAAAAATCAATAACCAAGTATGACTAACAACTCCCAACATAGGTGGGGGTCATGAGCCCCGTAGGACGATTGCCACTCGCGCCACGCAAAAAAAAAAAAAAAAAAAAAAAAAAAACCCACTGGCACAGAAAAGTATAGATATTTTTCTTTCTTTCTCTTTATGTTCTAAAACCTAATCTCTTCATGGCCGGCGGAACCGGAGGGGCCCCCACCTCACTTTTTGGCAGAAAATATATAATGCCTGGAGATTTTTGTTTGATCGGAAAGAAACGCAAGAAAAAAAAAGAGGGAAGAAGGAGGAGATGGAGGGGAAATAGAGTGTTTATCCCGTCCCCGACCGAGTTACATTTTTTCTTGCAATTCGAATTGGTGGATCTGGTGGTCAGGGGTCCTGACTCCCTTGGATTTGGAAAAATCCACATCCGACAGATCTGTTTAAATGAGTTTTCTTATGACATCTAAATATATTTTGCTGTCCATTGTACAGTAATAATCATTATGATTGACAGTAACTGCTTGGAGACAATTGATAATACAGTATAAAACTTGTAAAAGCATGCAAATATCGTCATGAATTTGCGGGAGATGATTTATTTCGGAAGATTTGTGCCTGCTTGCGGACCAGAATGCGTCAATTTCCAGGAGACCCCATTCCGGGACTCTACAGGAGATTGGGACTCACAGGCACTAAGTGTGGTCTTTAGATTTCTCTATTTAGAGGGAAATTAAAAAATAATATATTAAATGTTTTTAAATGGTTGTACAGTCACTGCATGCTCTTATTTATTCTTAAATAAACATTTCTTGGTAGCCAGACATCAACTTGTCTTCCCATTATAATATTACTAACATTGCCACTAACATTATCGTCATTCAATATACAAGCACTACACAAACAGTGCATTGCTAATATTATTATATGTAAGTCATATATAACATAATTTATTGTAGAAAAAAACTGCATTAAAATCACTATTTATTTTATACTGGTCTGTACATGGAGGAGAAGTATCAGTTGAGTCCACCAAACCCATGGTCTCTAAATAGAGGGAATCTTTAATTGGAGGGAACAGCTAATGATTAAAGATAGCCATTCAACGAGAAATGTGGTTTTTAATTGGAGCCATGGCCTTCAGCGGCCTCGCTAGAGGTGCGGAAGGGCCCCAGTGCAAAATTGATTGTCGGGCCCTTTGATGTGATACAGGAAATTTCCTAAATTTCATAGTAAAAATTGCTTCTTTTACTCCCTACTTCTAAAGGCCTAGCGGTAGGCCTAATAAATACCAATGATAATCGCTCGTAACTATTTAGGGCATAGGCCTATTCGGTCTCAGCAGCTGTTCTAAACTAAATCAAGAAACTTGGTGGCACACAAAATTTAACAATTGCAATGGCTGGTCAGTGAATAAGGTGGAGGTGAAGGCCACTTCAGCTCTCCCATGGCTGAAAACGTAAGATTATAGCACCTCTATAAGGCCGGAAATGGCACTCTCAGACTTAAATTTTAATATAATTCCCCCTTTCCACCGTTTTTGCTCCCCGCCCCCTTTTCGGGGAGAAAACCACAATTCGGCGGTGAGAAAAAAAATTTATGTGTATGTTTTACATATTAGTAGCCCCCAAAACTGATTAAGTAAGCTGTCGAAACCCCTAAATTGTCATTTTCGATAAACACTATCGAGAGATTTTGAGGGATGCCCAACCACGCCCAATTTTTTCGTAGGGAACATCGCCCCTCCCCCTCCCGGTTCGGGGACCCTGGGCAAATCCCCACCACTGTGTGTGCAATATGGCCGTGTGCAATATGGCTCATGTGCACTACACTCTTTGGAAAAAGTAGGGTATTGTCTCCCGGTGTACTGCTCAATCACAACCAGAAGGACCCCACAGGAAATGTCTTCTTCAGACTTTCATAGGATATCCTTGCTGTTTACACCGAATAAAGCCATTCATCCATCCAATTAAAATTTAAACCCTGAAATTAAAAGTGAAGACATTAATTTGTTTAAATTTCAACCTCTTCGGCGTTTATCGATTCATGGAAAAAAGAATACGTATGCAACTACATATTTGTTATGTATATATACACATATAACAGGCCTATTTACTGTAATAAGAATTAGAAAGTTCACCTGACCGTTTTCAAGAGGGGGAAACTTGAATTTTGAAGAACTAAGTCATTAAAATACACCTAGCTCAAAAGTCGGGAAAAATCATTTCCCGCCATCTAGGAATTAAAATTTTTGACCCCCCCCCCAGAATGTGAACCCAGATCTCCCTTATTCATATTCCCATTCATCTTACTAGTGGCCCCCCACCCCACTTTGAAAAACGTTCCGCCGGCCCTGCTCTTAATAAGGCTTGGGGAGCCTATATAACTTAAACAGCAGCAGTTAAGATGTCCCTAAGAAAATATCCTAAGCTGATTTATAAAACCATCTTAGCAAAATCTAGACTTCAAAGAAAGCGCATGTGTACAGTCGACTTTTTCATTTTAAGCAATTTTTCAGCAAAGGCAATATTGATAAATTTGACTTAAGCAAATAAAATGGACTTAAGACGAATTTAAGCTGATTTCTATTGATAAACTGGACCCAGATACCTAGTAATATCTCGTAAAGTATACTTACTATATTGATCAAAAGAAGTATAGGTAAAATCCAGACCCGTTTGTAGTTCTTCATTATATATATAAATTGTAACAAATTTCGACGAGCTATATTTTATGCCTACTTGCTGTTCGACGGAATTTTATAATACTAGTAGCCACAAGCAAATCCGTGTAATGAGCTCAACAACGGGCAATATCTTTAAGGTGTAATTTGACACGAAAATCATTTTTTTAAAATATTTTGATAAGAGTAACTAACAATGGATATATCGGTTTCAAATCAGAACTGTGTGCTAAGATAACAAGGTAGAGGAAGTATGAAAGACTATTATATAAACGTTAATAGATACTTTATGAGTTTATTGGCCAACTAATTTCGGAAGGACTGCGTTATAAGTCAGACGTTTGGTATTTTAATGTGTGATTATGCGGTAATAATACTATTCTGAAAGTCATTCTAGTGGCCCAGATATACTTAGATCAACTTAAGCATACAGAAGAAATCTAACGACGTTAATTTATTAGTAGGAGCTTTACACGAAGGAGGTTCAAATGGAGAGACGTGCATTAGGGTTTTTACACACTTCATATTACACTAATATTACAAACACCGTAATGTAGATAGCAACGCGGGATGTTGTGTTACAGATTATTTCATAAAATGGGATAACGACAGGAAACTCATTCAAAGGAAGTGTTTAATGTTTACATTCGGTAATATTGTCTACCACGAGAAGAAATTAATGAACAAAATGAGTATAGGCCTACATAATCGTATTAAAAGATACAAAATAATGTAATAGTTTTAGTAATCATTATAGGTACCAAATAATAATAATAATAATAATAATAATAATAATAATAATAATAATAATAATAACTAATAAAAACAAATATATAAATAATAATAATAATAATAAATACGATAATAGTATTATTAATAGTAATGGCAATATTAAAATTTATTTTCATTTATTTATATTTAAATAATCAGTGAGTCATTCACTAACATGCTGGTATAAACAAAAACTTTTACAGATGAAAATCCTTGGTATAACTACTCATTACTCAAATGAAATATATAGAAATAAAACAATAAAAAAGAATAATAATAATAATAATAACAGTACTTGAAGAGGAACATATCGTTAATAATCGTATTAAGCATAGCTCAACAACAAAAATTTCTTTAGCAGGATTCGAACCTGCAACCTCTCGCTATCATGGCGAATGTCACACACAGTAGACAACTTAGGCCAACGCAAAGCATGCAGAAGAAATCTAACGACCTTTATTTATGAGTAAGAGCTTTACACAAAGGAAGTTAAGATGGAGCAAAGTGCATTAGGTTTATTTACAAACTACTTGGTGTTATAACGAAAGATGAAAATGTGCAATAGCTGCCAACGAAAATGGAAAGGAGCATGCTAAATAGCACATACAGTATAAGATAGAAAAACGAATAAGTGAGTGAGAGAAGAAAAAAAACCAAAGTACTTTAAAAGAAAAGTAAGTGGACATGGACACGACATATGGACCGTAGAGACATACAGATGGTCTGGACATTATTGGTGGGGAAAAGCAACAGTGGAAGACAGAGAAAGAGATGAAGCGATGCCATAGATCAGTACTGGGGTGGTGTGAGTTGGCGTAGCAAACAAGAAACAGATATATTTGCAGGCAGCATGCTAAGGCTTTCGTCCTGCAGTGGATCAGCAGTAAGTTGACTATAATATGATCACATAGTGTTGTAATATTACAAATACCGTAATATAAGTAGTAACGCAAGATTGTGGTGGTAAAGATTTATTAAACAATGGGATAACGGCAGGAAACTCTAAAGGAAGCGTTTAATGTTTACATTTGGTAAGTGTCTACCACGAGAACAAGTTGATGAAGAACATTAATATAGGCCTACTTAATCGTGTTAAAAGATACAAAATAATGTAATATTTTCAATAATAGTATTATAGTAATGGCAATAATAATTTTTTTATTTTCATTTACTTTTACAGATGAAACTCCTTGGTATAAATCACTTAAACTAGGTACTCATTACACGAATAGGTACAATGAAATAGGCCTATATAGAAATAAAACTATAAAAAATAACAGTGCTCGAATAGGAACGTGTCGTAAAGCTTATCAACGAAACGTTCCTTTCTATCAGTTGTATGAAAAAAATGTCACCGGTGGGATTCGAACCTGCAACCTCTCGCATCATGGCGAGTATCATACCCATTAGACCACTTAGGCCATCGTAAAGCATACCGAAGACGTTATTTTATTAGTAAGAGCTTTACAAGAAGGAAGTTAAAATAGAGCGAAGTGCATTAGGTTTTTTGTACACACTTCTTAGTGTTGTAACGAAAAATGGAATGGTAGCTGCATAGCGAAAATTGGAAATACTGTATCACATATAAGAATAGATAAACGAATAAGTGGGTAAGAGAAAAAAGTACTGGACATCATGGCCATAATCAAGAAAAGTAAGTGGACATAGGCAGGACATATCAACCGTAGGGCAGATAGATAGTCTGGGCATCATTGATGGGCAAAAGGAAGAGTGGAAGACAGAGAAAGAGATGAAGCGATGACATACTGGGGTGGTGTGAACTGGGCGTAGCAAAGCTAGAGGCAGCATGCTAAGGCTTTCTTCTTGCAGTGGAGCGGCAAGAGTGCTGACTATGATGATGTAATGTTGTATTACAAATACTATACTGTAATAATCACCATAATGCCGCGAGACATTGTGGTGGTAAATTTTGTCACAAACAATGAGATAACGACAGGAAACTCTGTCAACGGAAGCGTTTAATGTTTATATCCGGTAATATTCGTTTACAACTTAAATCGTGTTAAAGATGCATTGTCCCATAAAAAATACAAACAAAAAAATGAAATTAACTTCCTCATAAAAACATTAGTGTATTTCAAAATGTTTTACAGTGAAACATAATAGAAACACTTTCATTCACTGGAAGTGTCTTATTATTTTCATTACCATTATCCAGTGTAAAATATCAGGGTACACATTTGTTAAATTCAATAATTTCTATGCTCAAGTTCATAAAAGCCTGGTTTTCACAATAGCCCTAGTATCCGGATCGGGAGCTAACCGTTAGCGCTAACCGTTAGCACCTGCGTGAGAACGCCCGATCAGTTAGCGGTATCCGGATACCGCTAACGGTTAGCAAGCGCTATCGGTTAGCAAGTTGAGGGCGTTTCTACCATCAACCAATCACACGTACGCGTTTACAATTTCCAGTTGGTATCCGGATCGGGATTTTCTCGCATGGACGCACGGCAGCTAACGGTTAGCAGGATCCGGATCTTGCTAACCGTTAGCTGCCGTGTGATAACATAGCCTAGATCTGCATTGCTTCTCTCCACCCAGGAGTTCCTGCGCTGTTTACCAGCAGCAACACTTAGCATGTGGAACCAATGACCAGGGAAAGGAACTGTGCTTTATAACCGCAAGGAAGAGGCGCATTATAAATGCCCGTACCAGTACCAGTATTCGACTACTGAAGACATTTTTCAACCATAGAATTCGAAATTCTGTTTAATATTTTTAAAGTCTCAAAATAATAAAAACATTAGTTTTTTTTCAATTATAATAATGATCAAAACATATTTTCTGATATAAAGAGGCCGCGAAATCTAAATTTGCAAGAAATTATGAGCACGAAGTTTACTCCAAGCCTAGCACAGACCCGATTCTGAATCCTCTCCACCTGGCTCACCAGACCCTAAGTGAGATCCACATGCCACAAAAGGAGCAGCATACTCTAAAATACCCCTTGTAAATACAAACTAATTCTGTTTTACTAAGACCTTCTTGTTTTAACTTTCGTATTATAAATATTTTCTTCCTGGCATTGAGAGCCAATCACACGAAAGAGTAAAGTCATTTGTAAGATAACACCCAATAACCTACATTTTTTAACTTTTCCAAATGATGATTACAGATAATTACGTACAATTCAGAATAAGGGGTACTTCTTTTAGATAACTGAACATTCATTGCCAAGCATTTGTTTGGGTTAAATTTTAATTTGTTCATAGTGGTCTATTCCTGTAGAGAATCTATATTAATTCTGTTAACGCCTGAAATTCTATTAACGCCTCGGCGTAACTTCACCTATCTCAGCCTCTGATGAAACCGCTGGCAAGAATGTGCTCATCATCTACAGTATACAATGGGGATTCTATGTGATAGATAGGCTACTTTTCTAGGCTGGATATTGGATGACAACGAAAAAAGACAGCAAAAAAAAAAAAAACATCTAAAATGAGTACTTAGACGGCCATGTTTCGCGAGTTGTTTACGTCACATAAAAACTACAGCATCTCTTCGCTTTTGTACCGTAGTGTCTCGCGTCAACAAAATATCGTGTCAGAGGCCTATAAATAAACAGTCTAATTACCTCGGGCCATGTTTTTACGAGTTTTTACGTCACATAAAAACTATAGCATCCCTACGATTTTGTACCACATTACTCAGATCTACAAAATATCGTGCAAGACCGCGAAATATACAGTCTGATGTAACCAACCCCTTATCCAACTACTGTACTTCAATCATAATCATATTATTTTGTTTTTATCTCATGCCCAACTGTATGTTGTTTTTTTTTTTTTGTTTTTTTTTTTTGCTTTCTTGTAAAAGTCACATTTTATTGATGGATTGTTATTAGTATTGTATCTATTGCGAATAATTAAATCTCAGATTCACTAGTAAATTGCAATGATAAATTATAGATAGCCCTACAGTACTATAAAAATTAATACGGCTAATACTTAACAGGATAATAATAATAATAATAATAATAATAATAATAATAATAATAACTTGGTATTATTATTATTATTATTATTAATATTATTATTTCCGTAAGTTTAATTTAAACGGCTAATATTCAACAGGATAATAATAATAATAATAATAATAATAATAATAATAATAATAATAAATAAATAATAATAATAACAATAATAATAATATGAAAATTAATACGGATAATATTCAACAAGATAATAATGAAAATAATAATAATAATAATAATAATAATAATAATAATAATAATAATAATAATAATAATAACTTGGTATTATTATTATTATTTCCGTAAGTAAATAAACACAGCTGTATCTGGGTTATTGACAACAATGCGACTGTTTGACTTTGCTGCACACACACTGTGCAGAATCATCCTTGTGTCAGCTTCCTCATGATTGCAAAATAGATTTGGCACAGGTAGCACCTCTACTGCAACGCCGTTGTTCGAATAACATGACATTCATTGCTATGATAGACATTGATATTGTAATGAGTTGTTTGTTTGTTCAGTGACGGATTTCCCCAAGCAATGTAAAGGGCTTCTTTTATTTTAAGTTGATTATCACTTTCTTCATCACTGTCACTGTCTGATATATCAGAAACACTAGACAACAATGGAAAGTTGTTGCAGGAACTCCCTTCCGCTTCGCAGGTACACATCTCAGTACACTGAAGATTATTTCTCCTAAACCTGAACAGGTACATCTGATAAGCTTAACTACTGCTTCAGGGGCTGATCACACGTTTTTGTTTTACAGTTACAGATCAGTTATTATTATATTATTATGTATGCTAAAAATCTAAAATAATGGAAAATGGCAGCCATTTTAAATTGTAATAGCTCAAAAAATGTGTACAATATTTAGTGAACTGTTGTCATTGTTATGAGTGGATTTCCAATTGAATACTGCATTTTAATGACATAAATTTACAATATTAGTGACAATTTTAGGAAAAAACGGCGGCCATTTAAAAACTGCTGGCAACCCCCCATACGTTTGAAAAAAAAATGTTGCACATACTTTTTGATTTATCAATGTCTGCTCTACATCATATCCAATTTTTTTTTAAATATAGCAAAAAAAAATGCAACCAACCAAGTTTGCTACCAAGTTTGCTGGAAGAACGCTATCGAACTTTTAAAACTATAGATGGCGATATATCACTAGATGGCTCACAAGTTTTTCCTCGCCACTCGATCATCCGTAAGAAGAGTGGAATGGGCTTAGCCTAGGCCTAGACATAGGTTAATAAAATACTGCAGGAAACGAACTCAGTTTATGAGAGTAACATTAGGATATAATATTGTTGTAAGTAACGCAATCATTACTGCAAGATCTAGGTAGTCGTGGTTCTCTAGAGTGGACCGGTATTTTATTAAGTTAAGTTGGCCAAGCCTGGGTCCATCCAGCAGGATGATGGATGCTTGATGACGATCGGGGACATTTCAGGAAGTCAGCTGGCATTACTGCAGGTTAGGCCTAGCTAGGCTATATGGTGTCAGTACTTGAAAATCACCTTATCACCTTATTCATTTGTGAAGAAGAGAGAATCTTAATGTTCTTAATGTTAAATGCATTAATAAATTAATATTAATGCCTTGTTGTATATAAAAGGCAAGGCCTTATTACAGCAATATAACATATAAGGCCTTGTATACTCTGCACAGACTACCGTCAATTTCATAATTTGTCTACTTCAATATTTAAATTCTGTTCTGTTTTATTTTTAAGTGTTTAGTGCAATGGCAAGCTCTCAACCGCTGATTGTTTTGAAAAGTTTGTTGAGGGAATTGAGATATCTTAATTTACAGGTTTGTAATTTTTATTTCCTATTTTTGTGTGTGTGTGTGTTCTTTTTATTATAAACTTGTATTTGAATTTATATAACTTATTAGCTTTGAATTTGAAATATTTCCTTTTAAACGATTAATAAATATTACTGTTTCTGTATTTTTAATCTTGGCTTTCTAAACACCCCCTGTCTGTGTGCTCCTGACTGAGCACTGTTTATCTTGATATGATAATTATATGACTACTAATTCTTGAATTTAGTGATTAACTTTTTCTCCACAAATTTGATGCACAGGGAGTTTTACAGAGGAAACCTGCATATTGTTATGTACTAGACCAGTACAGAAAGTTTCAGGTGACAAGCGAGAAAAACTGCAGAGCAAAAGATGAAGCTGAACATAACGCACATACATTTAACTGTCTGTTGAGGAGTGCTAGAGAACTGCAGGTAATGATTAGGATAATGATGATAATAATAATAGATCTTATCTATTATTTATGCATATAGTGTAGTAGTACAGTATTGTCTTTACATAAACTCATCGTTGTATAATTGTACAGAGCACAATGAAGGATTTTCTTTTGGAATGCATAAAAGTGCAATTGTTGTTGTAGCTGCTGGTGTTTTTCTATAACACATCCCAATATAAGGCCTAAAAAAAATTGTTTGTTTGCCCTTTAATGCTGAAATTGTATAAGAGGGGCGGGTGTAATAAGGTGTTTTTTTTTGTCTCTTGTCACCAAAATTAACATATTTAATCAAAATGCTTGCAGTTAAGCCTGCTCACTATTTGTTTTTCAAAGGGTATTCATCAGACTGAATAAAAATAACCCATAATTGATATTTTGCAATGAATTTACCTTACATCAGACACCAAATTTAGACAACTTTCATGCCCAAAATGGAGAAAAAGATCACTTTCTAAAATTTGTGACCAAAAAATTGAAAAAAATAAACTTGTTTAAAAAACGCTGCCCTTATTTTTCCGTGAGCTTGGGGCGGGAACTGAAGGGCAAACAAACAATTATTTTTTTTTTAGGCCTAATATTCAAATGATAGCAATAAAGACTGAATAAAGAAGTTACTCAATAGAGTAACTCTCTGATATGTTATACTATTTATACCCTTTTCACAGTGCCACTATTTTGCAAATACATGTAGTAACAACTAGTTGCTAACAAGTTGTAACCAGGTTTGTGCAGTGTGAAAGCAAATTCATGTAAAACTTTCCGATATTGCAGGGAACCCTGTGGTATCTTGAAAGGAAAAGATGTCCTGAGTTGTCCTGAGTTATTTAGTTCGCTTGCATTCATACTGCCACCAATGGAAAACAAAATAATGTCTGCGTGCTAAGACTTCCCTAAATATCTAGGCCTACTGCTATTTTCCCAAATTTTGCATGGTTTGGATAACTGTGTCTGTGAAACCAAGAAAATACCTCAGGAGATCCAAGTTGTCACAACTTTCAAAAAATAGCAACAAATAAATATAAATGAATAATAAATAAACATTTCAATCTATTTATAGGAATTGAATGCAGCATATTCCAGAGGCGAGCGTACTGTAGAAGAGAGTGCAAATTTGGTTGGACTTAAACTACCAGAAGCACCAAAACCACTTCAGTAGAAGTCCAGTCCAGTATGGTTAAGTTTATACAGGGGTGGCGCCAGCGGGTGCTGGGGGCTGGCTTATTTAATAAATTAAATAAGCCTTTAAAACCCCAAAATTGTCCTCCGTCGGGCAAATCCTGGTGCCACCCCAGAGTTTATATATAATGTGATTAGATTGCTGGTGGCCATTGGGCCTATTGGCTAATGTACTATGGCACATTAAACAACTTCAGCAGGTTTCTTAACTGACCGCTGACCACTAAGCCAACCTTTTGAATATTGTTACTAGCGTCCCAATATTTATAAACATATTTATTTACATAATATTTGTAAACATAAGCGATTGTGAGACTACATGTGTGTTTGTGGGAAAAGCAAATATTCCTGGCCCTGTTTTGGATTTGTTAGTTAAGTTTAAATGACACACTGGAAAGGTGTGTTTTTACTACCTTACAGATACAGGCCTGCAATATGAATGTAATTTCACAAATAGAACTGCAGAAGAATTAACAAATACAAAATGTGTACATTAAGTATTTTTGATTTTCCATTTTTTTAAATATGTACTTGTACACCGTTTATTCATTTATTTTTTGTTTTCTAGAAAGAAAAGCTGTTTTCAAATATCTGTTATTGTTGCAATAAATCATTGTGCTTGTGGCTGAAGTATGCAATAAGTTAGCAAGGAGTCGAGTTTAGAGGTGGTCAAGTAATTGCTGAAGCACAAATGCATCTGTTCATAATACCGGACATGTAGCAGACTGTTAGTTGAAGGCTTGAATGTTGTCTTGCAGTGATGATAAGCATTAATTTAGTACACACACAGACACCTGAAGTTGATGGTGTTTGTTAATTTTGGTGGTAAACCAAATTCAAATATAGTTCGGGTCCGTGGGACTCGAAAATCTTGATTTGTTTAAATTGATTACAGACATTTAAATTGAACTTTAGAATGTTTATCACAAGGCATTCTGTTCTCCTCAAACATACTGAGACCCAATTGAGGAAGTTTGCCTTCCCATATCCATTTCGGCGACCCTTGCTGTTTGTGTGCCTTAGTGCTGACTGATCTACAGACTAATAAAATGACATTTTATGATCCTAAGTTTTAATTTGTGGAACCTAATAATTTTTCTGCCTTTATCATTTATCAGTATGCTTGCTTTATCACTTGATTTAACAGTGTGGTAATGGTCTGATTTATCTTGACTTACACATAGTCATTATTGTATATGAAAATAAATAAGTTCTTGTAATCTCGAAAGCTCTGATGAGGGCAGTATAATAGAGGCAGTAGAGTATATTAGCCCATACCAAAAAAGATCAATCAAAAAATTATAAAAAAAAAAAAAATTAAACACAGAGGCGCGATTCAAGCTCACGACATTTGGTTCAATAGAACACTTTGTTAACCGACCACACCATACAGTAATAATACGACGTGTCCTATTAGTGGTAACTGCAGTATGTACAGTTCTTGGTATTGGTGGCGCATTTCACAAAAAAGAAGATCTATTAACTTACAGAGGTAGTAGAATATGTTGGTATATAAAAAAAGATATATTATTAAATCAATGAGCAGGGCATTCCTAGAGCTGCTCATCGGAGCTAAACAATACAGGTATAATAATATTCAATATATACAGTTGAACTTGCCTAAGTCGAATGGCATTGCAAAACTGTTTGACTTTAGATAAAATTGACTAATTGCAAACCGTTAAATGAAAACACACCAATTTGGTACGTAAAATAGGATCGACTTAGAAAGTATGCGACTTAGGCAAGTTCAATTGTATGTAAAAATATAATGGAATTGAAACAAAAATCTGATGATTGAAATAAAGAATAGATTTGCATGTACTGAGAATAGAAGAACTTTATTTAGCTATAGAAAAAAGGTGGCCTTGAGGTTTTAAGTGCACAACATGTAAACCAACATTCATATGGCATAATTTTAATATCAGCAATGTAGGCCTATACTTAAATGCAAATGAAAATGTGTAAGCCACATAAATCGGTTATTGTCATGCACACTTGAATCTGTCGCGTGCAAGCTTTTCATTTTTTAGTTTAAATTGCAATGATAATTACATCTTTAAAAACAGATAATGTATATAATATTAATTTAGGCAATGGTCATATTTTACTTATATTTCGTTTGTCATTAAGTTTGTAAAATCCTTTAAAAAAAACCGTGTTTTAAAACATCTAATACAGCAGCATTTTTAAAAGGATTAGAATACGTTAGCCCAGTATGGTACAGTGTGGTATCGTATTTTACTTTAAAATCCTTATATTACCAGCCAATAAAAAATATTAGAAAGGTATTATAAATCCATATGTTAATTGTTTAGAAAATCGTTGTTCCTTTCAGTCATCAACTGAGAGCTAAGTAATCTAAATTTACACACCAGCATGTACTTCATACTGTAATCGTATCAAGCAAAGCCCTTCAACGAAAAGAAGAATGAAATTGAAACTTTTCGGCTGTTGTGAAATGCTAACTTAATTTAAATTATTACAGTAATCTACGAGTGTTGTGTGTGTGTGTTAAACGTCCAAATTGAGAAACGTCGCCGTCAGTAATGTACCAAAATAGACATAATAGAGGATAAGTAGTTCTTATTGAAATTTAAAATAGAGTAATAAGGAATTCGAATCAAATCCTCCGTTCGTTGGTGGCGCTGTTGAAATCTACTTTTGGCACACATCATGCATGAGCAATGCAGGTCGCAGAGGTAAACAAAAGCCAAGCCTAGGTGGATACTCTCTGGTTTGTAATCCATTATATAACTACATACAGGTAATTTTAATGAGATTTGGTAAAGTAAAGATGAGAATGACATTCAGAAAGGATTATTTTATCTTAATTTAGAATAATACTGCGTAGTAATGCCCGTAGATTGAGTATCTACGGGCCATCCTAGGCTAGCCTAGCTGCATTTCCAGGCGATTGAGCCACGCTGAAAGACGATCGGGTCCACCTAGTGTGGACTATTGGGCCCACTTTTATTCTGATTCATTATTGCATTCTAAATTTATTTTACATACAGGTATAAAGAATCGTAATTAATAAAATTGTAATTTCATTTATTTATTTTATTTATTTATTTCGGTGCTTCAAACATCAACAAATACAAATGACAACCATGGGCTGAAATAATTTTGGCTAGGCCTAGGTCTGACGATCGAATTAGGCCCATATCGGCCGCTATCTATAGCGGCCGCCCTCCAGAACGGCCGCCAATGCGTGTATATGTATGGAACGCCGATGACGCATTCACAATGCAGTACATTGTAGTTAAATGGTTTGGAATAGGCCTAGGTCAAGTAGGTTTGGCATAGGCCTAGGTTAAGTCGGTTTAGAAGGTGTAGGACCGGTTCCGCCGTGAACAAGTTCGGCCGAGATATATTTTTATGGAACACCAAGTAGGCGCAAAGCTATATTGCTGCTACAGACTCGGTATCCATTATTTCGTGTTTTATTGTTAGGTCTTTTTATGTTGCCAAATAATTAATGTGGCATTATTATGCTGCCAGTGGATTTTATTAAGTTTTGTGTAAGTCCCGTATAAGTTAATAATTAATGATTTAGATGGCATATATTTCGTTTTATCTATTTAAAACAAACGAATGTACATTATATGTGCAATCATATGTTAATAATCGTGTTGTATTATCAGGTATTTTGCTGCTAATTAATTAATGTCGTTTTAAGCAATTCAATGGCATTAATACTGCGATGAGTTTGCGAACAAAACATTGGATTTATTAGGTTTGTGTAAGTTAATAAATGTTTTAAAATTCATATGTTTCATTTTATCTATTTGAAACTTGAATAAACAATGGATTTTATTAGGTTTGTGTAAGTTAATAATAATGTTTTAAGATTCATATATTTCGTTTGACCTTACAGTAATTGATGGTTCATGTTTCGTTGTATATTATGTCTAGGCCTATACGTTCTTAAATGATTGATTGATTTTGAAGCAGAGAGTATATAAACGCCACAAAAAGTCACATTATTTATGCCCCGTCCGGCACTCAAAATTTCCGACCGACGTTGACAGTCTGCCGACTGGCATTGCCTTTTTTCAATGATTCTGTGTATTATTTTAGAAAAAAAAAATCTGGATTTTTATTATATTTTTCGTAATATTATTAAAGTTTACACTATTTGATGCTTTATGTTTCGTTGTATATTAATATGTCTAGGCCTATACGTTCTTAAATGATTGAATGACTGATTTGAAGCACGAAAAACACGAAATACATCGCCCTAAAATCCAGAACTTAACTGTAAACACCCTTCATAGAGAAGATAACAATAGAAATACACGTTTCCGTGGTTACGCTTGTATTCTGTCTCTTATACACATCTAGATGTGTATAAGAGACAGGGGAACCCTGTGGTATCTTGAACTCCTTAAAGCCGGTAACTTCGCAAATGCCACCACTAGTAATGACGCCGACAATAGAGGGCGACACTCAAAAATGTTCTCTTGGTGGATAGTCTATTCAAGGTGGTCTATTGGATCTGTCTCTTATACACATCTAGATGTGTATAAGAGACAGCGTTCTTTCAAGAACATAATAAAGTCTTGTTTTGTAAACTGGCATAGGACCTATTCTATTTTTTCAGTAAATGTTTTCTCATACACGATTTCTAACAAAATGTTTTCGTTACACAACTACTGGAGTAGGGAGTTACCAACTCACTCTGGCTAGACAATGAACATGCTTGCTTCATCAAATAAGACAAAAGATATCAATTAACTTCTCCGTGGTAACGTTAACTTTTAACCCTACTACTCTAGTATTGTTGCTTTTTATTGAGTAACAAAAGATTGAATCGATAGCATGAATCGTGGACATATTTTGAGTATAAATAATTAAGAAACGAATATCATATGTATGAACATTAGAAACACTATATATGGCCTATATAATAAATAATGAAACAATATTAGTATTGTTGCTTTTTTCTGAGCAACAAACGATTGAATCAATGGCATGAATCGTGTACATATTTGAGTATAGAATTAAGAAACGAAAATCATATGTATGAAATACTTCAGTGGAGGAAACCAATTTTCAACCTATTCTTATTTAGATATATATATATGTATTATGTGTATACATAATTAAATATATATGGCCTATATATAAATGATGATATAATAGATAAAATCCAAACTAGCTTTATATATAATAATAATAATAAGAAACGAATACCATACTTTATTGGAGAAGAACTTCAATCTATCGAACGTTTTGATTGGAGCAATGGTTTTATTATATATTTATGATGTTTACAATTCTTAATGTGACTTCAATTTATTTATTTATTTTTTTAATAGTTATTTTTTAAGTAGTTTTATATAGTGTGTAGGCCTATATATAAAATGAAAAAGAGGGCCGAGTTAACCTGCCGGGCCGAGTTGACTGGGGCCTAGTTGACTCGAAGGTTTTGTATTTAGCGAGCGGTATTGCATTATTAATTGTGAATGTGTCATATACACATATTGGCGGCCGTTCTGGAGGGCGGCCGCTATAGGTAGCGGCCGATATGGGCCTACTCCTGACGATCGGGCCCATTTCCAGACTATCAGGCCAATTTTTAGGATGATCGGGTCCACTTTTAAATTGGGCCGATCGTCTCTAATTTGCTTAAAGTCTCACATAAAGCACGCCTAGCATCGACAGTGGATGAGAACACAACAAACAGCTAGCTGCAAAGGAGGATACCTAAAAAGAGTTTAAAATCTCAAAAAAGCTCCGGTTTCTTTTTAATAAAACAAGAAACATTTAAAACAAACTCATCAGAAAATTTAAAACAAATAATTAATACTTCAAGTAACTAATACTAATAGAAGACTATTGTGTATTTTCAGCCATGGACAGACGTTTCTTATTGTTGTATGGTTCTCAGACTGGCCAGTCTGAAGCGGTAGCAGAAGAGATATTTGAAAAGGCTTATGAACATGGGTTTCGGCCAGATCTACACAGCCTCAGTATGACAGAAAAGAAGGTTTTGTATCTATATAGTTGCAAATTGGGCAGAGTACATGGGGGGAAAGTGTTTTTATGTTTTATAATTCCTGAGGATCAATTTATTAGGAGTATCCATCGCCACAGCAATACCAAAATTACTGTAGGCCTCGTGTGGAGGTCCAAACATGCTTTTTGCTGTAGATTTTTGAAAAACTTTTGAAAAATATGGAACTTTAAGACAAGATACCATAATACAAACATCAGAAAAAAGCTTGGTATAAACTTTAATATATACTCGAAAAATAAGAATTAGATGCTGATTGGGAGTAAAGGAAAAAACCTTAATAACTTAATAGCTGATAACAGGAGAGTAAGGAATATAATATGTGTTACTGTCGTGCCATTAACTACCTTTTTTTATTTGGCGTAATAACTTTTAATTTCATTGCACCATAGTATATGTATTTAAAAAATATAACCATTGTTAATTTTTTGTTTTCACTCATGATTTCAGTTCAACGTGGAAAAAGAAAATTTGCTAGTGCTTGTTATATCAAGCACAGGGGATGGTGAACCCCCAGACTCAGCTCTCAAGTTTTGGAGGCGAATTCGAAAGAAAACCTTACCAAACAACCACCTTAGTAAACTGCGGTACACTATTCTAGGTAGGAATTAGTTCGAAGGTTTATGTTGGGTTTGTTTTTGTTGTATTTTTATTCATTGTTTTTCCTGTAGCAGATTCGGTTTGTAAAGAAGAAAAGTATACAGCATTCAGCAACTGTACTACTTTTGCATTACATCATTAATATGGAAAATATAAAAATAAACAACCAAAAAAACATAAGCTAATGTGTAAAAAGATTGTGAATATTCTATGTATAGTAAGTTCTGTAACCATGAGAAATTGTAAATAAGAAACTATTTAAATAACATTTTAGTTAGATTAGGTGTGAACTTTTTCTACCTTGTTTAGCGAACCCGCCACCTGCCAATAATGATGATTTCGCATAAAAATAAAATTTTATTTTTGGCCAATTAGCACACCCTCCGCCTCAAAAAAATGGAAATTTCAGAAAAAAATAACTTTATTTTTATTACACACACTGCTGCCTTGAAATCTTCAAACAGAATGTATTTCTTCCTAATTATATAAATTTTAAGCATTTAAACATCCCATTGCTACTACTACATTGTTTACATTCACCAATAAAATTGTATTTTTATTTTCTCCTCCATCTGGATGTTTTTTGGCAAAACCATTTGCTAATTATTAAAACCAAATTTTTTTTTCACCTTTCTCTGACAATTTTTAAAAAATTAGTTTGCGAAATAAGGTATAAAAAAAGTCGTGCTTCATTCTCTGTGTACCTACTGTTTTTAAAAGGGGCTGCAATGACAGGTCGTTTGGCCTCTACTGTATTGTCTCTTGACCATTATGTATTGTTATGTTTGCTGTGTATTGTAAATAGAATGCATCTTTTTTTTTTTTTGGTAAAAATTGTTTTCTGAATCTGATAACTAGGCCTTGGTGACAGCAACTATTCCAACTTCTGTCAAAATCCACAGAATTTTGATGCACGGTTTAAGGAACTCGGTGCTCGGCATTTTTATCCGACAGGATTTGCTGATGATGCCATTGGGTACGTTAACATCACCTTACTTTAATTATCGATAATGATTTACTAAGCAAAACTTGTGCTTTGCTTTGACCAAGTTGATGATGATCCAAGTACATAAAGTGAATAAAGGGTCGCATAGAAAATCTCCATCCAAAATCATAGGGAAACAAGATTTAAAAAAAAGAAATAGAAATTGAAATAAAACAAAAGCAAAGACCTTTTCTATGTCCTGTTGAAGAACTAATAATAATATTAATAGCATGGATATTGAATATTAATATAAATATAAATTTTTCAAACCTTCCACCTCCAAATAGCTAGATGCTCTTAAAAGCAGGCTTGCGTTAGTTCACATATCAGCTATGAAGTTTTTATATTTGTCAAATTAATATTCTGAATATGTTTTGTATTTACTTTGGTGTATGATTGTTGTATAATTTCGTTTTTATTTAAGCGTAAAGTGAAGTTCTATGTACTTTCTCTTGCTGTGTTCATAATAATATTCGTAATTTCAGATTAGAGATTGTAGTTGAGCCATGGATCGATGGATTGATGGATGCATTGAAACTTCAGTTTTCAGAAAATATAGAAACATGTTCAGGTGATGCTCAGATTTCACCATTGCCTGATCAAATTAATGAAATTAGGGATGAAGTCGATTCTGCTAAAATTGATATCAAAACACAACAACCAAACATTACCTCTAAGGTTGTTTCTAACGAGGAACAAACTGGTGAAGCTAAGACTGTTGACTCAAACAATACTGCTGGAGATATGGTTTCGTCATTGTTGAAAAGTGTACCACCAATAGAAGGGCAGATTGTCATACCAGCTCTACCACATCCATTTTTGGAACTTGAATTTTGTGAAGATGAAAGTATAGTAAGTGACTTCAAGCCAAGATGTTCAACTTCATTTCATTGATTTTATATTGAGCCACAAGATTTAATTAGCATAAAAATAGTACATCAGAAAAATGTAAGATAAGGAATAACATATTGCAGCTGGAAGGATTAACAAAATGAATGTTACAAAAGTCAGACTCCGGAGGAAAAAAATGTTTTGATATGTTGCAGAACTGATTTTTCAAAGACAGAAAAAAGTAGTTTGATGAAAAACTGGGGAACGGTGAATGAGATACAGATTTTTTAATATTTAAAAACTGGGGGAAAAAGGGGCGTAACTGCCCATTTTTACACCTTATTCCCCCAGTTTTTAAATGTTAAAAAAATCTGTATCTCATTTACCATTCCCCAATTTTTAGTCAAACAACTTTTTTCTGTCTTAGAAAAATCAGTTCTACAACATATCAAAAATTTTTTTTCTTCTGGAGCCTGACTCAAAGGTCACGGTGGAAGAAACCACTGTCACCAACCAAGTAAATGCCTCTCCAATGCCAACCACAGGCATTATACTTTATATTGACTGCTCTTAAATGGAATGGTGAAATCTATTGCCCCAAGGAGATGTGGAGGTCGTAGCCTATCTTTCCATCTAGAGCAGTCAATATTTGTTTCATATACCTCATACATAGATTCTACGAGGCCTAAAGAAAGTACTTACTTCCCAGCCTAGCCTAGCTAGAGGCCTACTAACTAGGGCCTAGGCGATCAAAGAGTGTGTCTAACTCTTTCTTTGCTCATTTCCTCAATTTCAACAGCACCCATCGTCTTGCAGTATTTGTTGAATATTGCCAAGACCTATTTAATTTGTCTTTTGATGCTTTTGCGTTCGGCTTTGTCTAGAAGTATAGGACTAGGCGTAGGCTAGTTCTTCTTCATCCAGGAGCAGCCACCATGATTATTGTTTATCATCTACTTGCTGATCCGTGGCGCGGTCAAGGGCCAATCTTTTTTCTTGTAGAGGTCGCAGTCCCCTCTACCGTCAGCACAATGGTGGGGCCTAGAGTTTGCACCACGTGAAAGGTCAAAAAGTGCTATTTTTCAGGGGAATAGTACTTTTTCAGGGAAATAGTACGTCCTGTTACCCGTTTCTTAACCAATCAGATGCCTAGAATCTATGTACAGTATGTCGAGTTAACAAAATTATAAAATTTTGAGGCCTGAAATAAATATACAGTATACTATGATTGCGCAGATATACCCTTGCTCTGGTAGTGACATTTTTGTGTAAAATGAAATATGTGTTGACAGATGACTGATGGCTGATAGCACCTTGTCCGATAAGAGTAATTTTGACCTAGTTCTGCAGTATAGTCAAGCTCCTATCAGGAGCCTATGTTATGTTACTAAGGCCAAAAAAAATAATTTTTTGCGTTGGCCACGTTTTGGGAAAATAAAAAAAAAATTGGTAGGTCGATAGGAAAACTTTTTTTTTTACCAAAAATGTGTTTCTGCTTAAAAAAAAGAAAATACACAAATAATACAACAATTTTGGATTTGCATTGTGTACCATGCACCAAAATAGGCTAGGCTTTGGCCCTAGCCTAGTCCAAGGCTATTCCAGCCTTATTAGCTCATGAAAAAAAAAATATATTGTTCGTTGTAGTCAACTGCCGACTGTTTATTCAAGACATGATAGACTATCTACCAAATGTACTATTAACATCTTTCCATGGGTTTCATTGTATAGGACTTGAATTCATTAAGTCTCCAAAATGGAGCAGAGTTTCCATCAGCTACCACAGGCGTAATCATGGCAACGTTAGTGGCATCGACTACATTAACAAGACAGGATGCTGTGAAGACTGCCCTCGATGTTCAACTAGAGATTCCAGTAAATATGTTGATAATTATTTATTTAGAAAACATTGTATTTTGTCTCTTCTGCTGTACCTATATATTGTGTTTGAAATACAATATTAATAAAATATCAGAGTGGCAGATCCAGTAATTTGCGGTTTGAAAAAGCAATGCAGTACCTGCTGCTACATGGAATTAAATTCAACAGTGCCAATACTTAAGAACAAGCTTGGTGGTCTAGTGGGTTTGATACCAAACTAGTTATCTAGAGGTTGTGGGTTCGATTCCCACCTGATTTTGTACACAAGCATTTGCGGACGTACACTGGTAAGCTACAAAAACACATCAGGTTGGACAAAATATAATTCCTATTTTAGCATTGTTTTTATTTTTTATAGGAGTCAACAATGACCTATGAACCTGGTGATTCATTTGGAATAGTTTGCAAAAATAATGATGAAGAAGTTGAGAACATTATCCAAAGGCTAGCGGTTTCTGATGTTGCTGATTGTGTCTGCTACTTGAAGTTGCTCGAGGGCACAAAGAAGAAAAATGCAGCTGTCCCAAAATTCCTTGCAACTCGTACAACCATCAGACACATGCTGAGCACATGCTGTGATATTAGAACGCCCCTGAAAAAAGTAAGCTGTTATATTTTGATTTTATACATCGACTTTAAAGATTTACCATCTACACTGATCTTATATACATTTTAAACTGTTAACATTTTAATTAATTTGTATATTTAAGTAAGTTATGAAGCATTGAAAATGACAATAGGAAAATTTTGTTTGGCCAATTAGCAGATAAAACACATTGTTTTATTCTTTATTTAGATTCTTAACTTAGCTAGTAATTAACAAAAAAAAACTAAATTGTCCTGAAATGAAAAATTTTAATTTATATATTTTATTTTTTTTCACCTACTATGCTTAACTATTTATAAAAATATCAGATTTGTAAAACATGCTCCTTGCTTGATTCTACACAATCATTCAAGAGCAACCAAACAAACCACATATTTCGGATAAGGCAATCAATTAATTGCCTCACCAAAAATGTCATTTATCTCATATATTGTAATATCTTATACACATCTAGATGTGTATAAGAGACAGGAAAATATGTAACACCAACATTTTTAATTAGAAGTATAAAAAAGAATCCAAATCAATAATTTTAATATCATTCTAAATGAATTTGTTCAAAGATTTGTTCCACATTGAAAGAAACAAAAATAACTGCAATTTATTATAATATCTGTCTCTTATACACATCTAGATGTGATACATTGTGTTTGAAATAAAATTATTAATTTTAATGCTTCTGCAATTAGGGATTTATTCACATGCTTGCAGAATACACAACAGAATCTTCAGAGAAGGCACGTCTTCAAGAGTTATGCAGTAAGCAAGGGGCATCACAATACACAAGTTTTATTAGGGAGCCTAGTCTGTCATTATTAGATATTTTACTAGCTTTCCCATCATGCTGTCCACCAATAGCTCGAGTCATTGAACAGTTGCCTAGGCTGTTACCAAGACCATATTCAGCATCAAGGTACAATGTTGTAATTTTCCATCTTGATCTAGTTATAATCTGTCAGCAAAATCTTCTGTCTACATATAAGTTATATGTGACCCATACCTATGATCACCCATACTGTATATGGGTGTGTCTTGACATCATCATACCCACATATGGCCAAGTCACCAATATTGTCACTTATGATCACCAGATATATGGATACGTGTTATGACATCATCATATCCACATAAGAGGCATGCTTCCCAAAACCAGCACCGGTGACCACATATGGCCCAGTCACCCATATTGTATATCATAAGATATTATGATACGTGATACAGCAACGACTAACAATTGATGATGATAATGATAATGTGACACTTGTATAACTACACCTGTTTTTCTTATTTCTTGTCTTCAGTTCACCACTGGTCTCTAGGAATCATCTCCATTTTGTTTTCAACATTGTAGAAATTCCATCTACATGTGGTCGCCAGTATGGTCGAAAAGGTGTCTGCACTGGATGGTTAAGTGAATTGTCTTCACACCAATTACAAGATGGTGAACCCAAACCAAAGGTAATGAGCTACTACAAGTACAAAGAGGAGTGAAACTGTGAATTAACATCTCAACGAGATTTCAATGACAGATAAACCGTCTAATCAGCGAGCGTCATTTAGTCACGTGATCAAAAAACTTGTTCTCGGACATTTTAACTTCCTTAGACAGCTGGTTTAAACACGAAACATACATGAGCCTAGGCCTAGATGTCTATGCTTGGTTATAGATACCCAGATTTACACAAGCAGTGCGCATCAGTGACTTGGCCTTTGCTGACAACAAGGTTGACTGAATGGGGCTTTTCCCTCTTCCTTTGGGAGCAAAATACAGAGGCTTTTACAACAATTTCCCCGCCATGTAATAGATTAACAGTATGAATATATGATTCATTTGCATACCACCTATCCTGAATTCTCTTTCTTTAAAGAAGGTTGATAGCAAAGAAAATCTTCGCCAACTCGGTAGGTCTAACCGCCATTGTCTAAGGTTTTCGTGACTTTGTGGGCGGGGCTTCACTTCTTTGTCGCCATGTCAATTGGTTACTACTGTACATTCTTTCAAATTCTAATGTCCTAAGTGCCCAATCCTGTAGAAATATATTTTTACTCCACTCTCACAAATGTATTAGACTTTACCTTGAATTTACCTTGAAGCACAACATCTCCATCTTCCTTTAAAATGCTGTAGGCATGGTTATGCAATGGCGTATCTCGAAGTCTTTGGTGCTGGGGTGGGGGGCGCGAAGGTGAAGTGGGGGCTCAATGATCAGTTGAGAGTCACTAACTTTCAAAATAAGGTGATTTTAGGTGATTTTTAACTACTTGACCATTAGATACACCACTGTGGTAATGGCCCTTGAAATGAAATTTAACATGATAGAATATGTTTTCCTCTGATTAGTTTTTTTTTTTTTTTTTTTTTTTTTTTTTTCTTTTTTTTCCTTTTTTTTTTTGTCTTTTACCTATTATTTCCTTATCTTGTATGTTAATATTAATACTTAATTAAATGATGTATTAATCTCTGCTCGAAATATGTTTTTGTGTCTTTCTCATCATTGATATAAAATTGGCAGATTATAAGAGTTTTACTACCATTTTTATTCAATCGTTAGATTGCAATATACGCGAGAAAGAATTTACGATTTCGACTGCCGAGTGATCCCTCTGTGCCTATAATCTTGATTGGGGCAGGCACTGGAGTAGCTCCATTCATCGGGTTTCTACAGCATCGAGAAGCAGAAATGCAGGCCTCCAAAGATTTTGTCTGTGGACCAATTTGGCTGTTTTTTGGATGCAGGCACAAGGAGCGAGACTACCTGTACAGGTAGAGTAGATATATTGTTAAATGGTGGTTAGAGTTTTTTAACAATTTTTCTTTTGTGAGATTCGAACCCTAATCACTCTGAATAATGTTTGCTTGCTGTACCTCTCCAAGGTGATAATGGTACTTCAAACCATCTATAACAATAAACATCATGTCTAAACTCTTCAAAGAAATTTAAAATATATTTTCTAATATGTAGGTAAATCCTTAAACTAGTTACATGAACTGAAATCACACAGATCATTCCAAAGTTGGGCAGCTATTGAAAGAAAAAAAAATGTCACCAAAATATTATTATTAATAGTGCCCATCTTATTATTCATTTCTTAGGTCTGAGCTTGAACGATTAAATTCCACAGGCATACTCTCAAAACTTTTGGTTGCCTTTTCTCGAGACAACCAAGATGCTGTGGACAAAACTAAATCTCCACGTTATGTGCAAGACAACATTCGCCTGCATTCTGCTGAAGTCTGCAATTTGTTGCTTGAAAAAAATGCAGTGCTGTATGTATGTGGGTATGTATTGTAATGTAGTTTGTGAATTATTCTCCTGGATTCTAAATCTGGCTTATTAGGTAAAGTTAGGAGAATAACCCTTAATTTGCAGTGTCATTGTGCTGAAATGGATATGGGCATGGTCCTTGACAACCTAGTCGCTGTAAAGAGGCGCTCACATCATCCATGACAAGGTCTTTAATATTTGGACTGAATATTCGTCAGAAAAAACAGAGGAACATATTAATTGTCAGAAAATGTTTAGACAGAAGGGGATCTATTAAAATGTGGCCAACCAAGTACAAGATGGACAGCTGAACACTTTACATATCAATTTATAATTCAATGTTGTATTGGTGTAGATATACTGTGATATCTGTAGTAAACCATTTGAATTTCATGTTACAAAAATCATATTGGATTACTTATTTTTAACAATTCGATGATAAACTGATTGAAACAATTGAGTTTTGTCTGATTAAGAACTTTTAGTACAAAAATCCTCACATTGATTACCATACAATGTAAGAGTGTATGTAAAAGAATGTCTATTTTGTGAATACTTACCTGGATGAACTGATGTAAGCCAGATTCCTAATGGAAATTACCTGCGAAAAATTACGGAATCTAACCCAGGTGTATATAATGCATCAACATTACGTTACAAGCCTAAAATTTTCCTTGATCATCTATCTTAAGAGGAATAGGTAAGAGGCCGTTCATCCATCTGAGTATCTAACTCACAGACGAACATCATCATTTTTGATTTGTGGGATTTTAGCGCTACTGTTAATACATCTGCTAAACACTGCAGAAATTATTGTCTCTTTTCAATTCTAATTGAAAAAGCTTGCTTTACTATACAAAGTAAGTAATTCAGACTATGGAATTTTATTACGGATGTTTAATAGTTCTGCATAGAAGACAGTATTTCGTAAAACTGACAATTGTTTCTTGTTTTTTAGGGATGCAAGAAATATGAGTAAAGATGTTAATGCAATGTTTTCTAACATTATTAGCCAACATCTGAGCATCTCAGAGAAAGAAGCAGATTCTATGATGATGAAATTGAGACAAGAAGGCCGGTACTTAGAGGATATTTGGACATAAATGTAAAAAAGAAAACTTAATTAAACCTTCTTATAATGTGTCTTGTAGGAGTTTATACATAATCAGATTTAAAAATTGGTGGTTTTTTTATATTTTGGTGACTTTTAATAAGTACTACAGTACTGTATATTGTTATTTATAAATTCTATCACTTTTTTTAATGGTACTTAACTATTTATAGTAAATATCATCATGTTTTATATTATGCCTCTTTCTCATTCCATGTTAAGTAATGGTTAGAGGTATTAGTTTATGAATGTACTGTGTAAGCAGGCTACAGTAGAAGGGCAAGATAGAAAATGTGGATTCATAATGGTCATCCAATGTTGAGTAATAGTTTAAAGGCATTAGTTTATTACTGTGCAAGTAGGCTAAAGTAGAAGGGCATTATAGTGGGTGAAACAAGCAGTGACTTCATATTGCTCATTCCATGTTTAATGTTAATGATTTTTACTGTGTAAGAAGGCCAAGATAGTGGGTAAAACAGGGCATAACTTCATAATGGCGTGATAAGTAATTGCATTGAGTCATTGCAATTCTAGTGAAAATTTACATTAGCAGGCTTTATATTTTGGAAACTCTCACTCAATCAAGACTAACGTCAATCTACTCATCGATTCCTGTTGCTATAATTTGCCATCTGCAGTACTTCCTCTGTCTCCTGAACAAGGCCATATCATCCCTTTATGCACACTCTCCATCCTGGGCGATGCAACATATATTCTCAATTCCAGGTTTAACAAATTCTAGCACTGCAGTTTAACTGTCTTGCTTTAAACTGGTTTGCTAGACTCATGATAAGAATAATAAGTTTAAAATAACATTCACGGATGTCAAATAATAGTTGTGATGTTTAGTGAGCATAGTGTAACTGGTTGCAAAACTAGCTTTTTACATCACATTCTAAAATGTTATGTGGGATTTGGAAATTTTTCATTTACCAGTGTAACAGTACAAGATACAAGTTTAGGTTTATAATTATATTGGTATTTATTCAATCAAAAATCATTAAACAACATAAAACATTGCAGAAAAAAAGGGCCGGATTACGTTAAAATAAAAAAAGGATTAGAAACTACTGCAAATCAAGATAATTAAAGGGCAACATTCTAGTAGAATGATAAGTGATATTTGAAATGTACAAGCCAGTGTAATAGTTTGAGACACTTGCTTTTAATTGGTTTTCAATACTATGTGGGATATGTAATGTTTTTCCATGTCCAAGTGTAACAGGTCAATATTATATATATATTTCTAAAATGCTATGAAATATTCTGTAGGATGGTGAGATAAGGTACACTATGTATGTACTTTTGTTATAATAAAAGATTAGCCAAACACTTGTTCTTGTTTTGTTATAAAATTATAAACACCATTCACCCCTTCCCACGCATATAGGCCCTATGCACACAAACATGCATACAGTATACACGCACTTTAGCGTTCAAAGTTTATATATAATTATAGCGTCACCACAAGACACTGCTCAGATAGGAACATAATATGTTATTATTGTATCAAGCATAATTACAGTGATTTTAATGATACATTTAGAAAGTTTTTGTAATGTAAATTAGGTAAATTTTCTACGTTTTTCTGGTCGTCTGAAATCAGTAACCCCCACGTCCTGTACACAGCTTATAAAAAGTTTCATGAATAGTTACGCATGCGGATTTTAATTTTAGGGACCGCCCAAGTTGGTAACTGTAAAGTGGGCATTGTGATTTTGAAAAAAAATTGTAATACATGACGGAGGAGACAACCATAAAAGAAGAATGTATGAAACCTTTTCCATGGTCTTGTTATAGAAAGGACGAACATCAATACCACAAAACGATAACTTATCTAAACTTAATTGTCTTGTCGCTTGCATTGAATATTGCGTATTTAATCACAAGATGAAGCTGCTCAATTACAGGCCTATTACTATTCACCATTTACTACACAACTCAAAAATTTAATTTGTGAAACACTAAGTTCGAAATATCCTCGTGGTTTCAGACTAATGCATTCCAAAATGCTTTAAAACAATTTGTAAGAATGACTCGGCTCAGCTTAAGATGATTCACGACATTTTAATTGCTTATTAATTAATGGCTATGTTACGAGATGACATCATAATCCTTTTACTTTTATTTTATTAGGCCTACTTTGCGTCCACCCGCATCAATCCTATAACTGTTTGAAATGTTAATTTATGGTCTCTTTCCATCCCTTGATGATTGGACATAGAGTAGGCCTAGCGCACGTCCATAATTTACGCACAGTGCGCTGGAATGTTCTGTTCTGTTCATGACAATATCAACAGCTCAGAAGTGCATGTACTGATGTAAAATACAAGCTTAATTCATACGTCGCCACATATCTTCTTTATGGTCATTGACTCACGAGTATTCAGAACATTACGCGTAGATCAAAATATTTAGGTCAACATTAGGAAATATATTTTTGATGGGCGACCATGGTAATTTGTTTACAGTACTGTTCACATCTAAGGTAGATTTTATAGATTAAAAAGCTAATATGGACACTGATTTTCGAAGAAGTTAAATTTGCCTTTCGTAATTAACCACGAATCCTTATCCAATAAGCTGTTGTCTGGTAATAATAGCGGCGATGACCCTTTAATTAAGAGCACCCCCTAGAATAAGAACGGCACGCTACCGACTTTCTTTTGTTCCACAATGCATTTTTAATTATAATTACCATGTTAACCATCGATAAATAAATTTCTGGTCTGTCTCTGAGGTATCACAATAATAACAACACCCGAGAATGTCTTGCCACATTTCACATTATATATTGTTATTATATATTATTATTATTATTATTGTTATTATTATTATTATTATTATTATTATTATTATTATTATTATTATATAATATCACTATATTTCATATCCGTGTTTTATTGTTGTCATGTTTATATTTTGTTGCCATGAGAAAAACCAATTTCAAATTTTAATTTGACAATAAAGCTATCTTGTATCTTGTATCTTGTATCTTCAGTTCCGTTTCCTCAGAGAGCCAACAGGGTCCGTGTAGGCCTACTCAAGTACGGTACATTAAACTCACATGGAATAACAAATTTAACAGCGACAAGTTAATTAATTTCTACGATAACAATTCTATCCTTAACAGTTACCGCAGCTCTGAAATTAAACAATTAAAATTTCCCGGAAGCAATTAGGCCTACTATGTGGTTAATTACCATTCCCATATTCCGACTTGTGCTTAGCTGACACACCCATATTTTAAAAAATCTAATTAGTGTGCATTCAGCTCATCAATCGGGTTTATGTGGAAAATCTGTGGATTCAATGGTACATATTTCTGGTGGTGTATTAAATGATAAACTAAAATAGTGACTTAAATTCACTTTAAAGACTTGCCGTAGCCTATTGTGATTATTAAATTGGAAGTGCAAGCCAAAGATTCTTGGTTCGAATCCTGGAGGATAGGCCTATGTTTTGGTCAGATTCCTCTGACATTTCATTAATTTTTTTTTTAAATTTAAATTTAAATCTTCCGACAATGAACAAAAACAACGAAGTTGGCTGTTGATGTATTATATAATTAATGTTGCGCTTACTAATATTATATATAATGCGTCTAATGCAATTTTCACTTTATCCTCTCAAAACAGTCCTAAGGAGAACGTTCAGAGTGCGGTACTTCACAGGGGATTCGCCACCTGGACCCCCTCCCCCTGGGTCCTACGTAATTCGCATAACGGCTCTCCTTCCCCACCCCCTTTTCAAAATCCTGGCTACGCCCCTGCTTCTGGCTAAAAGGATGTCTGTCTACACATCGGCATGTACCTTCTCTTTCGTTTTCCCCCTTCCTCTTGAAGATCGGCCTACGTTCAATGACCAACAGCTCAAGCCAGACAACAGTGGCGGATTCAATGGGGACCCAGCCGCACACCCCCCTCCTAATTTGTTCAAAATTGTAAAAAGATTCGAGAGAAAAAAGGAACACTGAGGACTCTATTTCAAATTCCTGGATCCGCCACTGCACTCTTTGCGACCGACGGTGGTCAGCAGACGCGATTCTATGAAAAATGCAACACCAAGACGCGAGCGCAGCGGATCGTTTTTAATGACGATCCGTTCAGACTTCTACCTACAATAAGCGGACGGAGTCGCGTCGTCAGCGCTCACAGGGAGCGGATTTAGATTCGTGGGACGTCGACGCAGTGGTTGCCCTGCTTTAGCCTCCCTCTCCGTGTACATATTGGTCCAGTCCACGGTCAACGAATTTCCGTCTTAAATTTAACGCGACATTCTTGTTAATGGAACCAATAATTTATAAATTCCTGTTTAAATCATCTATACGGATAAGATCAATAAACTGAGAGGTATTACGCATAAGTGAGTCGGGAGAGAGTTGACACGGTGAGAGAGAAGAGTGACTAATCAGATAGGACAGCTATTTTTATTGTTGAAGTATGATTTTTTTTTCTATTACTTACTTTATTGTACCAATCCAAAACAATGTGAACACGAAACGAACACTCAGAAAATCGAGATAGTACCAAAAGTGAAAAAGAAAAACTCCAAATGCTCGGCATTTTAATTATTATTCTTAAAATAAACAAAATAAATCATTTAAAAACCTAAAATAAAATTTTTAAAACAGATGTTAAACATTATGTCTATACATATTAAAGTATGTTTCTAGCATTCAATAGGTATTCAATACATAATAAATTATAATATCAGTGTGAAATCGGAATTTCAATAGGACACCATTATTCCTAGATTTTGAATTAAAAGGTTGTCATAATAACCATGTAAAATGATTTAAATAATAATATAACATTAGCAAGTGAATCCCAATGAAATTATAGAAAAAAAACTGTTTCGAACGGCAGTGTTCTTGTAATTGAGTTTAAATGAAATGGTTGTGTTTGCAGATATACAAGGTATTTTTATACATAACTCAAGTAATGAATTTCAAATATCATTATGCGCCAAATCTAGAGTCAAAAATATTTCTGAGTTAGCACCATATTTTTTGTTCACGACGTTAAATCTAGAGTAATCATTTTGCCTATTAGGTTTAAATTAAAATTGCAAAGCAGACCAGACCTTACTATATAATTACTCAAAGTTACTTGGGATGAGAAGATACCCATGGCTCCAGGATGTGTAATCACATGACATGGTCTTAACAGTATTATATTAGGCCTATTTTTTTTTTAAAGTTCTTAGACAACCTTCCAAATAATTATGAATTATAACAAACCTAAATCGGCTGTGTACCGGTATGTACGTAACAAATTCAGTGGTTTTATTGAAAGTTTCATCCTGTCTAAAATTATTGCTGAACTATATTATTTTATATAATGTGTTGCTTTGTTGAATAACATATTATCTTCTTGATCGAATAATTGTAAAAAAAAAATGGTGGCCGACGGTTGTTTTGGTGGAGGTTTTTAATATCCGTTTACTAATTTGACCAATTTACAAAATGCTGTCATACAAATTTCCTGCGCCACCTTTTCTTATTAGAACCTGAGCCTAACATTCTAAGCTATATTCGCAACTGTCTACAGGCCACACGTATAGGAGAACCCAGGCCTTCTGTAGTATGTAAAGACGTCCTAATCTGGCCACTATGGCTTCGTATCCTATTAGAAGCTATGGCTTCGTATCCTAGCGAAGCAAATGTTTTCACACTCTTCTGCGCATCGAGGGAACAGCTCTAGCTCTTTACACACTTCGAACAGAGATCAAGTGCGCCCTCATATTAAGCAGTTGGAACAACAAGATAGTATTTTCGAATAGACACTTCCAAACAGGTTATGGTTATGAGATAAACTCTAAGAACATCTTGTGACTCTCATACCATGGTCATACCATGCATGCTATGCATGTGGTATTGACGAGCCTACCAATAAGTTAAGAACGTTCTCTAGTCCAATAAATGGTAAACCTACAAATGATTCTCAAGATGACAAAGAGAACTGATAATTAATGCCAGTCCCTGGAATAGTTCAAAACGACATAAATTCATAATTTGTGTTATTTTAACCTGGTATTAAATAAGATTATAACATTTCTTAAGGAAATTAATTCGAGGTTATTTACATTCCACCACGCATCTGAACGGAACTCCAGTCTGCACAGGGCGTGATCCTCTCACAATCATAGTTCTGCCGAGGGTATAGGAAATTTGTAATTAACCAGATAATTGAATTCATCAAAAAAGCTGATAGTGAGAGTTTATATACGGATTTCACCAAAGACTAGTTTTTTTGAAATTCGAATGACACTGGGCACAATTTTATTGGCAAGGAACTAATGATTACACCTCGTTGCGATGAATTATATAATACTCTTGATACTGTTGGCTTCAAATGTTCAACGAGATATATTATTCCTAGCTGCAGGAGATACCTTAAATCAACCAAGTGTATGTCCTCAAAATAAAAGGTAAGTTTTATTGATTTTGTGTGTGTGTTGGAGTGAGTGGGTATGTGACATTAAAGGTTAATGCATGACAAAAAGAAATAACAATAAAGCAAACAAAATGTAACATTGATAAGAGGTAGGCCTTGCTGGTTTCCTATCTCATTGGTAGCTACATCTACCGTAAATAGTGAGCAAAGTGTCAGTTGACTGAAGAACAGGTCCGGCCGAATATTGTTCTTATATATTTACAATCTTTGATTTCATAAACAGTATTCTCATGAGGGATGATACACATAATAGTGGCGCGTAGGCCTAACAGTTCTAACAGTACAGTAAATGAGCCTTTGCAATAGCACAACCTATCAAGGGTGGAAAGCTGTGGGTGTTTTATTTTCACCAGGCCGAGATGATGAATGCACTAGGTATTATGTAATGTCGCTAATGTAATGCCATATATAATGCCTGACA